GCACGGTACCAACCGGACCCAGACCCAGTCAGACTGCTGGTTGATGCACGGTACCAACCGGACCCAGACCCACTCAGACTGCTGGTTGATGCACGGTACCAACCGGACCCAGACCCACTCAGACTGCTGGTTGATGCACTGTAACCGGACCCAGACCCACTGGTTTGGGGTGAATCGGATTGAACTGCAGCGGTTTGGGTCTCTGATGGATGGGATTGTGTAGAATAATAAATTTCTTTCTCCCAGCTCTGGTGTCCGTTCTCCACCAGCAGCTGTGGATCAAACAGAACTCTGCCTCCTCCAGGTGGAGCCAGTGGGCTGGAGGCCATTGTTGGTGCAGATTCAGGCTTTAGTCCGACACGTTCTTCTTGGCTTGTTAGCGTCTCCATGTCGTTTATGGGATGAAAACCCTCTAGTTTAATCAGACACCACTTCCCTTCTTTATTCTTTCTACCAACATCCTGCTGAGGAGCAAAGAAGCAAAGCCTCCTTTTTCTAGCCGCCGTCGTCCAGCCTGCAGGCGTCCACAGCGGCTCCGCTCTAACTGAAGGCTGCCTCCTGCATGGCCTCCTACTCCTCTCACCTCCTCCCTCCTCCTGGCTGTAATCTGGAGCAGGGATGCTTCAGTAGCAGAGGTGATAGTTTCTGCTCAAAGTTTCTGCATGTTTTACTAATCTTTGGTTGGATTGACATGAAGGTCTGTTGGAGGATTCTCATTACTGAGGGATGCGGCGACCCAGGAACGGAGTGAAGCGTTAGAAATTGATTATTCTGGGATGTAAGCGTTGCTCTCTGTTCCTGGGTTGGACTTTTCCTCTCCAGCTTTGCTTCTTCGCTTCTAGATCCCGTAGATAAAAGGTTAGATCTGCAGCTGAGAGACGCTGTATTAGTTCATCTGAGACGCAACACAGAAATGATTGAACCAATAATCCGACGGCAGCCGTTCTACGTTATGCAGACGCTCCATCTTCGCCAGTGAACATTTATACAAACATCCTGATCACTGCTGAGCTTTCAGCGCTCTGCTGGGTCCAGTTGGGTCAGTACCATCAGAACCTGCAGCGTTTAGCGGTTTCCTAACAGATTTGGTGTCTTAGTCGTGTGTTGGGGGGGGTGAGGCCATCCATAGCATCATCTGTGGCGCTGCAGCCCATAAGGAAAGGTATTTTTGGGATGTTTTCCGCCGTATAACGGCGTGCCGGGCGGTTCTGATCCGGTCTGGGCCTCGGTCGGCTTGGGACCGTTACAGCAGCCGTCCGTCACACTGCGACGCCTCCGGCCTCAGATTCCTGCAGAGGTTTAGATCTTTGTTTTGCTTTTTTCTCTCAGTTTCATTGGTTGTTTGATTCTGAGTCGGACCAGATGCTCCGAGTCGCGGCCCCCCCAGGCCCCCCCTTTAGACGGCTCTGCTTGATGGCTCTGCATATATAAACCCCCTCCTGACCGCGTGTCGGCATGAACAGACTCTAAGGACTGCATGACTATTACCCCCCCACCCTCCCCCAGGACGACGTTACAAGTCACTTCTGATTCCCATATTTCTGCGCTGTAACCGGGGGTTACGCCCCTGATGTGCGGCGTGGGGGGGGCGATGCAGTGGGAGGAGCTATGGTCACTGTGGAAAGGGCTACTTTAGACTAGAGCAGTTTTAATAATGGTTACTGTTCTGTTTGCATGTTAAACCTGAGATCAACCTTTTTAACATCCGCTCCAGTTTTTTGGACGGTTTCCGGGTTTTGAATGTCTCTCCATGGCATGTGCGTTTCTCCATCAGCAGCGTCTCTTTCAGATTTCCATATTTACTATTCTAATACTTTATGAAGTCATTACTGGAGCTGAGTATGTTTTCCTATGCAAAATATACCATTAATAAACAAGCTGTACTGACAGCCTGAAGTGTGTCATTCTGTGTGTGTGTGTGG